ATTGAAGAATCGTTGTCGGGTTCAGAAACATAGAACATAGAAGCTGAGACCGAAATGGCACATGGGAAGTACATTAACTAGATGCATGCTGTGACCGGCGACCCGTGGCATCATCCACTGTTTTTAATACGCGTTTGGCATTCTAAACCGACTGCATGGATGGCGCAAATGAATATATTCTAATATAATTATGTCATTTACCATGTTCCATTTCTGTTATATTATATTACTTATTTTAACGAAGCTCGCTTCCACATACCTTAGGCTGAACAAAATCAAGTTTGAGCTATAAGCCTTATATAATTCTCAAAATTCTTTCTCCTATCTTGAATCTGATATTGTTGGTATCGAAGGCGGCGTGCCTCGACGCATTCTCCACAGGGGAGTTGGTGTGACTCTTTTGAATATATCAAATTCCAGTTCCAAGAAATCTGACTCACTGCATTTCTTTATGCGTCGCTGTGAAAATGGCTACATTCAAATCGCTCAAAGACATCACAGACACCTTCGAAAGAGAGCTCACTTGTTCGAATTGTACAGAAATATTTACCCATCCCAAGACTCTGTTATGTCTTCATAGTTTTTGTACACAATGCATCGCTCAGTGTTACGAGACAAGCGGGGATCAAGGCAACAATCGAATGAACTGTCCGATTTGCAAGACGACGATAGTTGTGCCAGAAGGCGATCCTTCCAAGCTTCCTTCTTCATTTTACTTGGATTCTCTCCTGCTGTTGCTTACATACATACATACTTTTATTTGTTAAGCAGGTTAACTAAACTACTCAGCCACAGGCTGATGTGGACCTGCATTCATTCGATGAAAAGTAAAGCTAATCAACCAGGATCAGTATCTCATTGTGTTCGTTGTTGTGAACATCCGCGAGTCTTGGTAGCATTTTGTGTGCAGTGTAATGGCTTGATATGTGAGACTTGCTTCAAGGCCCACCGGTTATTCAAAGAAATACAAGTTGAACACCAGCCAATAAAGCTCGATCAATTTAATGAGAAATTTGTAAGCAGTTTTATCAAAAACCAGATGGTGTGTAAGTCCCATGAAAAAAAGAAGCTGGAATACTACTGTCAAGAGGAAACATGTAGACTCAGCGTTTGTAAAGAATGTGCTGCTTTGGATCATCAAAACCACCAACTGCAGAGCTTAGAAGACGCTGGACAGGACTCAAGGAAATTGATCGAAGGAGCGATGAATCGAGTCGAGCAACGGAAAGACAGCTACGGAAAAGAATTAGAACACTCTAAAGAAAACATAGAGAGAATTCAAAAAGAGATTGACGTGGCAGAGAGGGATGTTGATGACGTGGTTAAAATGATATGTGATATAGCCAAAGATCACGGAAGAGCGATGAAGGAGGAACTGAAGCAGACGCTCCAGGAATTAACAACAGAAAATAATGAAGAGCAAACGGCTATTCAAACAAAAGTAAAAGATTCAGATGAATTTGTGCTACATTGCCGAGCACTGTTGGAGAGAGATGTAGCATATGAGGAAATCAAAAGTAAGGAAATGATTCTAGAAAGAGGTAAAATGTTAATACACCGATCCCTCAAGCTCCGCCCCTTCATAGCAACGCATAGCAACCAGGCAACCTCGGACATTAAATCCAATATGGCGGTTCCTTGCGTTACATCGATGAATGCATTACCCAAAGATTTTGGATTAAACTTCTTCGGATCACGACCTCT